CAGTTCAGTGTCCAAGTGAGTTACATAGTAATGGGAAGAGGGACTGCCTCTGACATAATCTGATTGGCCTGCTCGTTGATCACCTCGCCCTGAGGGGGTAGCAGCCTTACCAGGCCACAGTAGAGGACAATGCAGCCAATTTTGATGAGAACTGATAGACTAAGATCAGAAAGGAGAGGAGAACCTCCCCTATCAGTGGACTTGGGGAGTGGCATGCATGCAGAAAGGGGAGGGAGGTTGGGATCAGGAGGGGAGGAGGGAGGGTCTTATGGGGGGATACAAAATGAATAAAGTGTAATTACTAAAAAATTAAAAAAAGAATATGATCTATTATTTGAAGAATTTTATATTTTCTTAACAACTCTCTATTAATTATTAATAAAGAAATACAAGAAAAAATAAAATAATTAAAAAATGGTCATTCAGCTTATGGCATGTGATCATAATGAACATTTGGATTCAGTAGAGTTTAGTTTCTAGGCTTAAAAACTGGAACTGCATGCAATTCAGTGACAATTGTACAATGAAGTACACTGACCTCTTAGTACGACATCAATCCTGTTTTCCCTGTGTACTTCCCTGGTGGGCCAGCACTAATGGTAAGGGCACCAATTCCAGTGTCAAAGGGATCACTCAGGAGGAAGCTGTGTCCATATGATGGAAATCCAACAATGAGTTTTTCAGGAGATGCCCCATTTTTCTTCCAGTAGCTCATGATGTAATCCTGCAGGAGAAAAAGCTTAGTTTTAGGGTCAAAGCAGCTGCTGATCTATGCTTACATAGGTTAGCTCCCTGTTCTGAAAGCTCAATTGAGGTCATGTTAGTGAAGAGAAAATAGATCTGTATTCCAAAATATATTACTAATTTACAGTTTTTCAGATGTTAAAGTATCTCTTATTTGCCTCATTTAATTGTCATCTCTGAGGTTTATTGCTTCTGTCTGCTAACATAGGCCTAGTTCTGGAAGCTCCTAGCCTCCATACAATCTAATCTGGGCCTAGAATATTTTCACCCTCTGAGACTTACTTCTGAATAAGTGCGCACTTTCTAGTTCTTTCTGAGATCTGGGTGTTCTGGCTTAAATTCTTTTCCAAGATGACTGATTCAGTGTGGTTTCTCCCTGCTTCTGACTGATCTGCTCTCTTGGGCCTCATATTAACTTTGGCAATATGTTTTAATCTTCTGACTCCTTCTCATTCTCTGGCTCATTCTGTCTTCATATATGTCTAGTTTGTTCTTTCTATGCAATCTCTGTACAACTGTCCTGGGAAGACTGCCTCCTCTCTCCCCCTGTGCTTCTCTCCCTTAACTCGCCAGGCTTTGCACTGCTATTCTCTGAAGAGCTGGGAATATCCTATTCTGTCAAATCTTTCTTTCATTCATCACTTTGCCTCTCAGTTAGATATCACTTTCAAACATGGGTGCTTCCTTCTACAAAATATTTATTGTTGGGGATTAATGGTGTGTGCTAAGTGTGTATCTGTGTTTCAGCCAGAAGGATTAAATGTGTGTTCTAAGGGTGTGTTTGTATCCTAGCCAGAATGACTATGTTACTGGATTAAAATCTCTTTAGATATTTAGATATGCTAAGTAGTTGAGAGGAATGAATAATATCAGCTAGTGCTCATTTCATGAATGAAACTTTCAAGACATAGGACATATCTCATTTTTCTTTGAAATTGTCCAGGTTCTTACCACATTGAGGTAGGCATTAATGCCTTGGTCAAATGTAGATTTGTAGAGGGGACTGTTTTCTCCAGTATAGCCATCCTGTGAGCTATGAAGATCATGTCATAACCTGAATGTAATCAAGGAACCTGAAAAAAGATGAAAGTTCTAAGAATCATTCCTTTCAGTTAACTTTCTGCAAGTCCTTCATTTTATAATTCTTCACCACATCTAGGCTTCAATCTTTCTGCCTCATCTACTCCCACTTTCTACTTTCACTTTATCTGTGAGGAAAGATCCTAGAAATAAAGGGTTTTGGTTTATATGTTAAGTGGGTTTAAATAGACATGGAGATTTTAGGTAGGAGAGTGGTTTAGAGAAAAATGCAGATTATAAAAAGAAGATTTAGGCCAAACTACTAGCTTTTAAGCTAACTAAAATACACAAAGATGAATACCCTACATGGATTAAAAAAAAAAGAGCCCTACTAGAAGACCTGGTTTATAAAAGGAATATGGCCCTGGCTGGTATGAGACATCTCCCTGCAAGTTATTATCACATAGATATCAGAGGACACCCGCCCCCTAAGCCCAGTATGTTGTCATTTATTTTTGATGCTTAGTGGAACTTAATGCTAATACTTTATTTATTAAGTGTAACAAAGATTAACTCTAGACATAGACATATCAAACAAAAACTGACATTGCAAACTGTCTGAGGTCACAAGCCTACATCATGTCAACATATGTTATAATGTCTGGTGGAAAAAATACAACAGTTGTCTTACTGAGTGCTAGACCCTGTATATTATAAAATTGCCTTGATTGGCAAGTTGAGCACCAAAAGCATGTTGATTTAGGATTTAATAAACTGATTGCATAAGATACCTAGTCATGGGATGGCTCTTAAGACTGCTAATGTGAGTCTGAACAAAAGTATGATCCCAGGGAACTCACAGGGCCAAAGTGGAACCAATATAGTTGTTTTGCTTTGTGATCATGCTTTCAAACAGTATTTTAAAGACTTATGTTTACATGTCCTGAACAGGAGTAGGGTTGAGTCATATCCAACCACAGAAATCTCAAGCAAAAGGAGAGGGGACAGTCCCCCCTCTGCCCTGGGCCAGCATGTCTTGAAGCAGATTGTCCTGCACTCCCCTTCAGAGGAGGTCACATAGGCTCACAGAGGTTAAACTTTCCCTCTTCTTATGAGGTCATGTCCAGCAAGCACCTAGCATTCCTCATTATGCAAATGAGGCATTCTCAGCACCTTGGTACTGACCAATGATACACACCCATTCCCAAGAGCCCTTACTCTCCTCTAGAGGTTGAAAAAGTCTTTCTTCTCCCCAATTAAAGGATCTGTCTCACTGAAGCCTGCCTCTGGAGAGTCTGTCCTTGGCCAATAGGACACTGAAGAGATGCTTGTCCTTAGATGGGCTTCCACGAGACCCAGGATACCGCCAGTCCAGATTCAGTCCATCAAAGTCAGACTGGCGCAGCAGTGTAATGACTGACTTTATGAATGTCTGACGGTTCAGAGGAGTAGAGACCATGGCACTGAACCTGAGAACCAAAAGTAGACAGATTATTTGTGCAAAATGACCACACTGGAAAAAGACAGTCCATAGCTAATTTCAGAGTCTGTGTTCTTCAACAAGGCTCCCTAAATTGTTCCCAGCCTCCCCTCCACCTGTCAGCAATAGAACCTAGCATCCCCTTTACTTTGTTAGTCCTAATGTAGCTATTAATCTGTTGCCCTTTCATTTTTAATAGCTTTCCATCATTGTTAATCAAACACATACTGCCTTAAAACACATTTCAGTTCATATGAACTCAAGGCATGTTTCTTCTGTATGAAGAACCATCAGTTCAGTTCTTGAAAAGGTAGAAAGAAGCAGAGCGTGACCCTCCTCTGACCTGGAGGATTTAAATACTTTAAGAAACAGTACTTTGAAGTAGGCAACTAACGCTAGGAAGGTGTCATCCTAGAATACCTAAACAAATTTGAACTTGAAAAAGTCCCATGAGGACTTGGAAAAGGGGGGGTTCTGTTTAATTTAAGCTTCTAGTGAAATAAATTTGGATGTAACTTATTCACCCAATGGATATTCTTTTTTATGTTTTTTATTTTTATATTAATCACAGGTTATTTATTTTGTATCCCAGTTGTAGACACCACTCTCATTCCCTCCCGATCCCACTCTCCCTCCTTTATCTCCTCCCTGCCCCTTTCCAAGTCCACTGATTGGGGAGGTCCTCCAATGGATATTCTTAATTTCTCTCTTAAAAGACTGAGATTGTGTTGTCATAGTTTGTTTAAACTAGAAATTAGCAGTAGACCACATGTATAAAACTTTCTGATCAGATCCAACGTCCCAGCCTCCAATGGCCAGGAGAGTTTTCAGCTCCAAGTTTCTTAAAAACAACAATAAAAAAGAGAAATATAAAAATTCTTGGTTTCTTTAATAAGAAATAGCAGTGTGATTTGCATACTCCTCATATTATTTTGTTCTGTGTTGCCATGAAAATAAACATTCCATTGTAATTTTCCATTAATTTTGTATTAAAATTACTTGTTATTCTTTTTTCTTTTTTTTACTTTTAAAATTTTTGTTTGTTTCTTCACAGTTTATTCATTATATATTCTGATTGAAGCCCAATCTCCATCCCTTTCCCCCTCATCCCCTTCCCCTAGTCCACTGAAAGTGGGAGTTCTCCACTATTGCCATCTCCCCATAGCTTCTTTAGTCTCATTAGGACTGCTTAGATCTTTTTCCTCCGTGGCCTTGCAAGGATGCCTCATCACGGGCAAGTGATCAGTATTAGGTAACCCAGAAACAGAAAGATAAGCATGGTATGCACTCACTAATAACCAGATATTAGCCATATAATATAGGACAGCCATCTTCAGAAGAAACTAAGATCTAAAGAGGACCCTAGGGAGAATGCTTAAATCTCATTCAGAATGGCAAATAGGAGAGACAGCAGAAGCAGTGGAAGAGAGAAAATAGGAATGAGAGTCTACTATAGAAGGTCCTCTGAAAGGTTTCACCCAACAGGGGATCAAAGCAGATGCTAAGACTCAGGGCCAAACTTTGGGCAGAGCACAAGGAGGCTTATGGAGGAAGAGAGGGTTGGGATTAGAGGGACATAGAGGGGACAGGAGTCCTACAAGGAGACCAACAAAACTGAAAGATCTGAGCGGAGGGAGGGTGTCCTGCAGAGACTAATGCGCCAATGGAGGACCATGCATGGAGAGGACCTACACCCCTGCTCAGATGAGGCTGATTGGCAGCTCAGTCTCCATGTGGATCTCTGAGTGGGGAGGAGGTGTTGCCTCTATCATGAACTCAGTGGACTCTGATCACTGTTATACTTTTACTTTTCTTTTTTCTTTTTATTAATTACAGTTTATTCACTTTGTATCCCCCCGGTACCTTCCTTCCTCCTTCCCACCCAAATCCACCTTCCCTTTTCCCCACCCGAATCCCTTTCCCAGTCCACTGAAAAGGGAGGTCCTCCTCCCCTTCCCTCGGTTCCTAGTCTATCAGGTCTCATCAGGAGTGGTTGCATTGTCTTCTTCTGTGGCCTGGTAAGGCTGCTCCCCCCTCTGGGGGAGATAATCAAAGAGCAGGCCAATCAATTCCTGTCAGAGACAGTCCCTGTCCCCATTAATATGGAGGCCACTTGGACAATGAACTACCATAGGCTACCTTTGTGCAGGGGTTTCAGGCCATCTCCATGAGTGGTCCTTGGCTGAAGTGCCCAGAATTTCAGGATCTGTTCCTGTCCTTGTGGAGCTCCTGTCCTCTCCAGATCTTACTGTTTCCAACTTCTTTCATAAGATTCCCTGTACTCTGCCCAAAGTTTGGCTATGAGTCTCAGCATCTGCCTCCATACCCTGCAGGGTAGAGCCTTTCAGAGGTCCTTTGTGGTAGGCTCCTGTCCTGTTCCCTGTTTTCTCCCTTCTCCGATGTCTATCCTCTTTGCCTTTCTGAATGGGGATTGAGCATCATAGCCAGAGTCCTCCTTTCTGATTAGCTTCCTTAGGTATACAGATTGTGGTATGTTTATCCTATATTATATGTCTAGTATCCATTTATGTGATATACCCTACTTTTACTTTTAAAATAAGGTTCTTAACACAAGCTTACCATGTAGTGCACTGACTGCATTTTGTTATCACAACTTAGGACCCTAATGAGCGCACATTGTTCCTGACACTTAAAATGACAGATTCTTTTAGCTCTACTGTTTTCTCAACCTCCATAAGTGAATACAAATGAATTTTGCCAGAAGCGTACATTGTCATGGGAACAGTAGTTTCGAGACATTAGTTTCCAAGTAATTATCATCAGCAGGAGTGAGAAGACATGAGTTATCAGTTTTCTGCCCCTTCCTTTGAGATTAAGATTGTGTGGTCGGAAGTAGGGGCAGGTGCTTTCAGTGATTCATTTAGTTTTGATACAAGATAAGGAAAGGGTCAAAGTCAAGAAAATTATCTTAAATGAAGTTATCTGCAGTTAGCTTAGATTCTTACTAACGAAAGTGTTGTTACTGAAGGTAGAAATCACTGAGTTTTGCTTGTTTTACACATGGCTAACCCGATAAATGTGCAAATTTAAAATATGAGAATTTGCTTTTATTAAACAGAGGAAAGCTGTAACTGATGAAATCAAATTTTCTAATTGAACGGGAGCACTGTTATCTGAACTCTAATATCCTTTGGTTCCCACTTTTCAAAGTAGAAAGCTGAACTTTCTCCTCCCTACCCCCCCCCCGAAATCCCTCCAATGCACAACCTATCCCAAGGCCAGAAAGAAAGATACTCATCTCATACAACGTCATTATGACCACATCATGATCTGTAAAGATTGTATACTTCATCACAATTTGATATGTGGCTTCTAAACCATAAGTGGCAGCAGCCTATGGCAATGATTGCTAGAAAAATCTATCTTCTGAACATGCCATAAAAGAAATTTGATCTCACTTTCATAACACACACACACACACACACACAAATAAACTGAAAGTTGAATAAGAGCATAAACATAAGTTCTGAAGTTACTAAATTATTACAAGAAAATGTTGAAATCACCATGTGAGTCTTCTGTGTAGTGACAAAACTTGGAATATTATTTGACCATAAGAAGGAATGAAGACCGCTACTGCAACTCTGTTTTTTAAATTTTATCAACATTCTACTAAGTGTAAAAGGTGAAATAGAGACAAATAGAATGTAGTCTGACTTTATAATGACAGCTAAAATGTTCAACGCAAAGAATATGAATGTGGAATGGTGATTTTGAGCAAATGGTAGGAAGAGACGGGCTGGAAAAAAATCTGGTCAAAATTAATGATATGAAGGTTATGTGAAATAACACCAGGTAAAAAGAACATTTACCATGATTAATGGAAATAGATGAGATGACATGTACACAAAGGTGGTCATGAGCAGTTAATATACAATAAAAGCATTCGGTTTGCCTCAATTTCAGACTCAGGAAAAATACATTGGTGGGCTGTCAACTCAAGCACATTGATTCTAAGCTATAGGTAAAGAAGCGTTTAGATGTGGCAACTACTGACACATAGATACCAAACCAGGTATCTCTTACCTTGTCCTTTTCTTACCTGGTTTTCAGATCATTTAATTCTTTGTACTCTTCCAAGTCCTCCTTACTTATCACGGTGATCTCATTGTTCCGCATCCCAGCAAATGCATAGATCAGGTGAGTACACAAGAAAGGCTCAATGTTACTGGGTTTGAAACCTCCCACACCAGGACGGTCCTTGGACCCCCCCTTATATAATAGCACATCAGCTGGTAGGCAGAACCTAGGAAAGTTATCAAAAGAACAATGCCCTGATGTAGATACCAAGTAAATTTGCTCACAATTTTGCCTGCCCTCTTTCCCTTGCTATGCTCCATATAGGATTATTCAAATCAACAATTGTCCGGTTATTCGTAATTGGTACGGATTCTCAGCTGAAGCCTGCATACCCTTTGAAGCCTCTTGATAAAACAAACCCATTATTCCTGTGAAACCCTGAAGTTGCCAGTTGCAAAACTCTCAACTCAACTTATTAGAGAGGGGAGCAGTGAGAGTGAAGATGAGTTTACTACACAAAGTCAACCCATACCTTTCACCCAAGCAGATTATCTCTTAACATTTTTGCCAATAAATCATTGTGAGAAAGTAATATGAAAATGAACCATAATAGGCATATGTGTTTGCATTAGGAATATTAGTCAGGATTAGAGTCAGATTGAAGTAAGTTTTTTGGTCAACAACTCACCTAACTGAGCATTTAGAACAATCACCAGACCTAGAGAGAAGGAAGACACATTTTCTTTGGATCAGTTGTTAGAACCATAAGAATTAAATTATCAGTTCCTGTGGGTCATCCTACTGACTATAGACCATTACATCCGCTAAGAAATCTCACAGTTATACTAGATGTGAGACCTTGGAGACATCATTCCATTCAACTCTTCTACACTGATTAATAAATCCTGGCAGTGTTCTTAATGTTACATGTCCTGTGTCCTAATTGTTATAAAATTTGAAATCTGCTACTTCTTTCAGCAACACTGAATGAAATTATTCACAAGATCACCTACTTAGTGAGCATACTGGAGAAAGTTCTGACTGCCTCCTTAGTGATGAGATTTTGGTCTTGAATCATTATATAACTGCAACAATTCTCCTATGAATCTTTTAAACATTGAGCTTCAGTACTCACTTGAACAAATATCTGAAGCTAAAAGAAAAATATATAAGGCACGGATTTAGAGCACCTTGTGAGTTTTGAACAACTTGGCAAAAATTCATAAATCTAACTCTTTGAACACTGAATGTTTCTATCTGTGACATTTTAATGAAACAGGACAGTAGAGAATAGTTGTGAGATAACCCGAAAGGAGAGGGGCAAAGAAAACTAGAGTAGCTCTATCTCATATTCTACAGATGTCCATCTCTGAAAATGTTGTTCCGGAACAGTAACATGAAAATAAACAGAAATATTCCCTAAGTCTGTGGGCTTATGAGAGATTTTCATAAAGAGACTCAATAAGGAAAAGAAAATCTTCAACGACAAAGAATAACAAAGCATAGAGTTGCAGTGTGCGGAAAGAACCTGACAAGCCTAAGGCTGTCTGTCTGATTATCATCTCACCTGTGGCAATAATGAACTTGGCCATGGTGTCTTCGGGATTGTTCCAGGAGCACTTCTGTTGGCTTTTTATACCCTCTGAGATGATGGTTTTTGCCAGGTTTGGAAGACAGCAAGTTTTTACCAGGAAGTCTTTGTGGGTAATATTTTACTCCATAGGTCTCTCCTCTGACTCAGCTTCTTTAGTATATCACTAGCACCTTTTATCACCCTCTATAAATAAAATAGCTATGTGTCCAAAAAGAGGGTGGGTTCCCTAGCATTAGGCATCCGTCCTCTTGACAGTTCCCAGGAACTCAGCAACTCTTTCAATACTGCATACTTATTCTGCATAATTTATACCTAAGCTATTCTCTATCATCTTACTAATTTTTAGAAAGAAATATCTTTCTGAGTATTGACAGAGGTTGCATGTCAGTCACAATTCAGGAACAGCAATTCAAGACAAAAACCAGCATCAGAACACAGCTTATGAAAGAGATTGATACCACGGATCCTTAGTGAGTAGTTCATTTCTCTCTGAGCATAAAAAAATGGATTCCAGCTTCTGTAAAGCAAAGGACACTCATCAAAACAAAACGACTGCCAACAGATTGGGAAAGGATCTTCACCAACCCTTTCTCTGACATAGGGCTAATATCCAGTATATATAAAGAACTAAAGAAGCCGAAAAGCAACAAACCAAGGAATCCAATTAAAAAATGGGGAAAAGAGCTAAGCAGAGAATTCTTTGTAGAGGAATAGCGAATGGCAGAGAAACACTTAAAGAAATGTTCAACCTCATTAGCCATCAAGGAAATGCAAATCAAAACGACCCTGAGTTTTCACCTTACACCCATCAGAATGGCCAAGATGAAAAACTTAATATCCTTCTATCATCATTTCCTTCTATGTCTGTTTCCTAGGAGGTAAAGTGAGGAAAACAGGAGAGCCTACCTTCCATGACATGGGAAAATATGGTGTGGATACACGTTAGTTTCTCAGAAGAAAGGTTGGTGCTGATACGCCATGTGAGCACTGGAAACTGTGTCTATTAGCATGGATGGATACTGTAACACAACAGATCATGGTACTAGCTTCATAATCTAAGTATAACTACTAGCAATGGCTAATCAAGTTATTTTTCTCTCTCACTATTTTCTCCTATAGCAGGAGAGATATGACTAAGCAAATTTTAAAAGCCAAGTACCTCCCAGTTTTCAGTATGTAGAAATACCTATTTCTCTGAAGACACCTTTGCCCTTCCCTTTGGCTTGTCACCAGGCAAGATCTTTGGACACCTGTGCTTCTGGAAAAAAAAAATCTGAAACAATAAAGGCACTTTGGATGATTGATTCACTAATTTCTGAAGAATAGTATCTGCTTAACTCCCATTTAATTATAACATTTCCAAGATTAAGTATTCAACCTTGATGATACTACTCATTTCCTATGTAATAAACTGTTGAGTTCCAGAACAAGAATCTGAGGCACTAATTATATTACCTGACTCCCCAAAAACTGAGTAATTAAAACTTACACTAAAGTGATGGAAAAGCTACAGTTCAGATCTTAATTGATTCAGAACAGTTAGAATAAGATTTTTCTCTTGTGATGTATCAGAGCAGTTAAAACTTTCTGGATGACATTAATGTGATGTAGTAAAGCAAATTGTGCCAGAAAGCCATATAAATTATATATTCCTGTGTGTTCTTTCCTTTTCTTACTCTGTCAGGTTTTAGAATCTGGGTAATGCTACACTCATTAAAAAAAAAGTTTATAAGCATGCCTTGAAAACTATCCGGAATTATTTGTTTAGTATGGATTGGTTGTTCTTTGAAGATTTGGTAGAAATCTTAGTGGTCCTGGGATTTACAGTATTACAAATCACACTGCTCTTACAAGAACAAAAGGGGGAGAAAAAGGATTTTGATATTTCTCTTTTTCTGTTTTTATAGAGGGACATTGAGCTGAAAACGCTCATTTCCATTTGGAGGCTGTAACTTTAGATCTGCCCCATAAGCTCTGTACAAAAGGCCTATTGGTCTTTGCTATTATAAGTGGATTAGGCCCACACAGTCCAGGTCCCATTACTTCCTTTAAAAAAGGTGTTTTCACTAGCCAGTGAATAAATAAGTTAATGCCTAAATTATTTCAGTAGAAAATTACATTCACCAGAATTTATTCTATACAAGCACAGGTGTGGCTTTAGGAGTTCATATTTGATCTGGTATTCTGGGTTGCCATTCTCTGAGTGTAGTTTCCTATGGCAAAGACTTTTTACTTGAAGTATTTCAAGTGTTATCGGCCAGATAAATGCCATATACTGCTCCTGCCTATTTTTTCAAAAAGTAGAAAGATGGCTCCTCATACATAAGATATTTCCTTTAAGCAAATATTAATTTCAAGTGTGTTTGAAGACAGAATATGATCAGCCAAGATGGTCACCAATTACATCAATTAAAGAACCATGGACAACTTGTTAATGGTTAAGTTGTGACTAACAAAGTAAAGGCATGCTGATTAAGCATGGCTAACAGGTGGTGTCAGTGCAAAGATAATCTAGGAGAGAAGCAGAGGGCATGGGTGAAGACATTATTTTCACTATACTCACATCACAGAGTCTCTATTCTGCCTTCTCTGTGCCTCTATCAGTTTCAGTGATATGGCCTCTCCTGCTCAGAACTGTCAGACTTTTATCAATACAGTCATCTGATTCATGTACTACTATATGTTTTATGGGAAGAACCTGGTGTGGAACTAACATGGAACATCAGAAATTTATGCATTGTGGAGATCACAGGAGGAAAAGGAGTCTAGAAGAAATTTGTGGTGAAGCTTTTCAACATCAAGAAGACTTTGAAGTCATTAAAAGAGACATGGATATGAGAAAGAAGGTCCGATCTACAGGAAAATACATCCAACTCTGAATCCCCCTTGTGCTCAGAGTCTGATACCTACTTGTGTTATGCTTGATGTTGAGGCCAGCATCAAACATGGATACATTATAGCATAATATCAACTGAGTGAAGAAATAAGTACAACAATTGCCAAGGGGACAGGGTAAAATGTAGAAGACTTGTAGGAAAATTAATCAAAGAAATGGGGAAAAAAACTTTGAGATATAGAAAGCCTGCCAAGAAAGGCCTTGGTCTTGGCAGGATTAACATAGTAAAAATGGCCATTTTACCAAAAGCAATCTACAGATTCAATGCAATTCCCATCAAATTACCAACGCAATTCTTTACAGAACTTGAAAGAAAAATTCTCAACTTCATAGGGACTAACAAGAAACCCAGAATTGCTAAAACAATCCTCTACAATAAAAGATCTTCTGGAGGTATCTCCATCCCTGATCTTAAGCTGTACTATAGAGCAACAGTAATAAAAACTGCGTGGTACTGACATAGAAATAGAATGGTGGATCAATGGAACCAAACAGAAGATCCAGAAATAAACCCAAACACTTATGGACACCTGATCTTTGATAAAATGCCAAAACCATACAATGGAAAAAAGACCACATTTGCAACAAATGGTGCTGGTCTAACTGGATAGCTATATGTAGAAAAATGTATTTGGAACTTTTCTGATTTTATTTTTTCTTTGAGAGACGTGTCAATTTCCGCAAGTATATCTTCGGCTCCTGAGATTCTTTCTTCCATCTCTTGTATTCTGTTGGTGATGCTTACCTTTGTAGTCCCTGATCTTTTCTCTATGTTCTGCAGCTCCTGGTTTTTCTCTATTTGTGTTTTCTTTATTGATTCTAATTCTGTTTTCATGTCTTGCACCATTTCCTTCATCTGTTTGAATGTGGAGTCCTGCTTTTCAATGACAGCTTCTATTTTTTTTGTCCATTTCCTCTCTATGTATCACTAATTGTGCCTCTACTTCTTTGGGTATAATTGCCTGTATTTCTATGAGAGCTTTGTTTATTTCTTCTTTATTTGCCTTCATTTGTGTGGACATTTCTTTGAGAGCTTTGTGCATTTCTTCTCTGTTTGCCTCAATTTTCGTGGTCATTTCTCTGAGAGCACGATGTTTCCTCTTGGTTAGTCTCGATTTCTTTGGCTATTTCTCTGAGGGCTTTGTTCATTTCATCTTTATAGGCCTCTAATAGCTGGAGAAACATAGTTTTGAGGTCGTTTTCTTGTATATCTAGTGAACTGAAGTATCCATTGTTTTGTGGGGTTGCTGGTGAGGTCATTATATCCTGATTTTTGTTGGGAGTGTTCTTATGTCTGCCTCTAGCCATCTGGTTATTTATAATCCTCACTGTTCCTCGAGATTGTAGTTCGGGCTATGATCCTCTCTTTCTGTTTTCTGGACTGTTTTTTCAGAAAGATGAGAGAGGTTCACTGGTTTGGGAGTGTGCACTATGGTTTCAATTTTGCCTAAGTAAGGAATGTGACACTGGCTCTATTAGCATGTGCTTTTAGCGGGCGCAGTGTGCATGAGTGGATTCTCTGACTATTGCAGTGGCCTGCAAGCCACTATTACACAGTTCTGACTGAGAGCCAGGGATTGTTTGCCTGTATTATACTGGTGGACCCACAAGGCAGAGGCTTCAATGATGGGGTCGCTATCCCAAGAATCCCTATGATGCCCACACTAGGGGTGTGGGTGGCAGGGATCTCGTCTGGTTGCTTCTGTGGAGAGGTCCTGGGTCTGGGGCAATCTCTCCCTAGAAGGCTCACTCATTATCTTGCAGGACCAGTTGGAATGCACAGGGAGAGAAACTTAAATCAATCCCACTGAAATCAGGGACAAGACAAGGCTGCCCACTCTCTCCCTACCTCTTCAACGTAGTACTTGAAGTCCTAGCCAGAGCAATAAGACAACTAAAGGAGATCAAGGGGATACATATCGGAAAGGAAGAGGTCAAAGTGTCACTATTCGCAGATGATATGATAGTATATATGAGCGACCCCAAAAATTCAACCAGAGAACTCCTCCAGCTGATAAACACCTTCAGCAAAGTGGCAGGATACAAAATCAACTCAAAAAAATCAGAAGCCCTCCTGTATACCAAAGACAAAATGACCGAGA